ATCAGCTAAAAACCCGAGCTAACAAACCCGGTCCTCATTACATAAAAACACACACACAAAACTTAAATTCAAGAATGAAAAGTTGTTCTATTGTTTTTAAAACAAAGAAAAGGTATCTTGTCCTACCTTGTTGTTTGTTTCTTTAGCTGTCAATTTCTGCATCGCCATGACAATCCCAGCATTAGCCGCAGGTACTCGTAAAGACACGCCCCTCAATCGAGAAACCCACAGCGCGCCAGCGTTGCGTTCACTTTACGTGGGGCTTTTTTGGAAGTTAGATTTTTTTAATCGCCTTCTTGTCCTTCGGACGAGGTAAAAAAAATAATGCTTTAAAAGCGATTATTAAATGATTAATCTTTGAACAATGCCTGGTTAGTAAAGAGGATTAACTATTCAAAGTTAAAACTGGATGTTTTTAAATACGATTACTAAAAACAATAATAAAAAATGTAAATAAAAAAGCACATTTTAGTTGTTTTTATTATTATTATTTGGCTCAATACTGTAATGAGGACAATATAGATGATAAGTAGATAGAAATAAGTAATAAGACGTGTAGCAGGCTCTAAGAAATAAGTAATAAGACGTGTAGCAGGTAGATAATAACTGTTGATAAGATATTTTTACTTGATAAGAGTTTAAGATGTTACTTGAAAAAAAAATTCTGAATAAAACAAAATACCAAATTTAAGCTCACCTTTAAACATTAGGCTCCTCCCACTATCCCAGGTGACCACTGCTTTTTGAAGCCCCTCCCCGTCTATCACTTCAGCTGCTGCTCCTGTTACCATAGTGATGACAATCCTCTAGTGATTACTGTTAATTATTACCATAGTAACAGCGTCAGCAAAATTCTGTTTCATGGTGTCCACATGGAACCAGGTTCTGTTCTCTGTCCCCTGACCCTGTCTCCTGTCCTCTCATTCCAGCTTGTCCTTTACCTGTGTCCATTATCCTCCATCCATGTCCTCAAACGTTTCATCCTGAAAATGTTCTGTTGAGCTGGTTAATTTTTTAACTCAACACTAAAGTGGATTAAATGTATATTGAAAATAAAACATAAAAAAACGTTTTATTTATTTATTTTCTACAGAGACAGATTCACTGTATATATTTACAGTTTACTGGTACTGAAGCCAATCCTGTGGTGTGATTTGATGATGTCACTGGTGATGTTCGCTGACTGACACGTGTCACTGAGCTTCAGGAAGCTTTTAGGAAAGAAAACATTAAAAATCTCAGACATGAGGAAGACTAGGGCGTCTTCATCAGGGTGTGTTTTTATGGTAATTTGTCAAATGTCAGTGGACATCTTTATTTCATAGTTCAGCCGCGGTGCATTCAAGTGTACGTGAACAAATACACACGTGCTCGCTTTGCCTTTTAGCACTTTTTGTTGTTAGTTTGTGTTAAAAGTTAAACAGCTCTGGGAGGAACCTTTTTGCCATTTTTAAGGGGGTGCATGTGTGTGTGTATGTGTGTGTGTGTGTGTGTGTGTGTGTGTTGCTCGAGTTTGCAGAGGCTCCTAAAAGCCAGAATAAATATTAAAAAGTGATCAATATTTTATTGAGGATAAATTATTATAGTGTTTCTGAAAGCATGTAGAGAGTGTCTGTGTGTGTGTGTGTGTGTGTGTGTGTGTGTTAATAATGGATCAGAGTGTGTGTCACCAACATTATATTGTGATGTTAAAGTGACTGCAACTTTGTCCTGATCTGAAATGTTTTTGAAACATATGACAGCAGCTCCGATGACATGTTAATATTTAATCACATGTCATCATGTGTGTATGACAGAGAGAGAGAGAGAGAGAGAGAGAGAGAGATTATGGTTTCCTCATGTCAGAGAATGTTCACTCTAACAACAACTGACAGTCGTAAAGTAACTGGAATTAAATCATAAAGACGTTCAGCAGTGATACTGACACACACACACACACACACGCTGACACACACACACACACACACAAACACTGCCTCTGACTCTGGTCCAACATTAAGACTGTGTTTATGTTTAATAAAGGAATGACTCACGTCAGTGAAAACACAACTTTGCCTCTGATGAAAATAAATATTGTAAAGTATATGTTTACAGTCAACTCATTTGCAGATATAAATAATAACATATTTTGTAACAGTGTGTGTGTGTGTGCGCCTCTGTGCCGGTGTGTAGGTGTGTAATCCAGGCGTTGACTCTCATCAGTCCTTCACTCTTGAGAACTGTCAGTCCAAACACATCTCAGCCAATCAGAGGGCAGGGCAGAGAATAAGGAGGAGGGAGGCAGTGAGGAGGTGAAATCTCACCAATTTACCTTTTGGAGGTGTGGGAGGAAAACACACACACACACACACACACCTACACATATGTGTGTGAACATCTCAGTAATAAGGAAACATATACCTTTGAAGTTTTATATATAAATATATAGGAAAATGTAGTATTGTTACTACTGTTACACAAATAAGTGATGACACAGAAGACATCAGGGCATGCATGGACATATATATATATGTATATATGTGTGTGTGTGTGTGTGTGTGTCCATCTGTGGACACGTGTGGACATACAGGAGGACAGGCAGTCATATATATATATTTATATATTATATATATTTCATCTGCTCCTCTGTAAATGTCAAGACTCCAACATCAAACATGAAACTTCCTGAAAATTAAACCTGAAACATTTTTATTGAAGCAATAAAAAAGTTCAAACAGAGCAGAGAGAAAATACATTGGAGAGATGAAGGAACAGGAAGTGACACGTACAGAGACTCAATGAGGGCGAGAGACTATACGCAAGTGTCAGCGAGAGAGTTATGGAGGCAGCAGAGGAAGGAGACACTTTGAAACCCTGCCATAACTCCAGTGGTTCACGGTGCGTTTGAGGACTCCTTCACTCTGGTCTGTACTGCTCCTGCAAGTGGTTCTCAGCTGTTCCCTCACTCCTGCTCTGTTCCTTTGTTCTTCACTATTCTTCAGCTCTCCTTTTCCAGTTCTGAGTTTGTTCTCCTCTGATTCTTCTCTCACTCTTCAGCCCCTCCCTGCTGTTCTTCAGCTGTTCTTCAACAATTCTTCTTCACCCTGTCAGTAGTTTCCCTGTTCTCCAGCTGTTCCTTAACTAAAGTTTTTGTAGTTCAAAAGCTGATCGTTCTCAGTTTTTGACCAAAATTTCTGCTCTTCCATCCAGTTCTTCAGCTGTTCTTCAGGCCTTCCTCTCCAGATTTTCAGCTGTTCCTTCATCTGTTCCACGGTTCTCCAGCTCTTCTCCGATCAGAAGAACCAGCAGAGCCGTGTGTTTCTTCAGGGTTCATTAAGACTGCTGTTGTTTTTAAAACAAAGAAGAAAATCAGCAAAAACTGAGTAAAAACATGG